GGCGGGGGAGGAGGGGCGCTCACAGGGGCTTTCTGCTGGTTTTCAGGTCTGTCAAAACAACAGAGCAAAATTTTAGACATAAAGTTCACATTTTAATTGATTTTGTTTTAATTAGCCATGACTCATAATTGCAGCTGTAGATTTAGTGAAAAGAAAGGATGACTAATATAAAAAAAGCATATTTTCTGTGTATTGTTCAGCTTTAACTGTGTTTATAACTGAAAAAAAAGTTTTACATTTGCTGTACAGAGTGTTTGATTTAAAGCAACAGGAAGAAACAGTGTTTGTGAAAATAAAATAATGTAAATAAAGAAAAAAAATTCAACCAGAGAACAAATACAACTATAAACTTAATGACAAAAAATGTTCAGGCCAGAAAAATACAATAACAAGGATTTTAGCAAAAAAACGAAAATAGCTGCATCACAATGTTCGACAGAACAAAGATTGTTCCATACTATTGACAGAGAGAGGGTTTAATTAATGCTAAGTCATGTCACTACAACACTAGAAGTTAAACATGCAAATCATTTTCACAGAGATGGTTGTTAGCAACAGTTTGTGAAGATCCTTAAAACCGATGGTTTCCAGATATGAGGCAACGTGCTTCGTTCAACCTGCTATAGAGTCAGCGTTGCACCAGATGAAGTAAAATACTGAGACCAACATGACGGATGGATAAAGTGACTTAAACACAGATTATCACCAAGCTACAGACAAAACTGCAGCAGTAATAAAGTCAATCTACACCAGTGGTCCTCAATCCTGGTCCTCGCAGGTCCCGATCCTGCATGTTTTAGTTGTTTTCCTGAACTTCAGGAGGTCTTCAGGTTCTGCACGAACCTGTTAATCACTCATTCATTCGAATCAGGTGTATCAAAGCAAAGACACAACTAAAACATGCAGAGTAGAGGCCCTCGAGGACCAGGATTGAGGACAACTGATCTACAACCTCTACACATCAGTACTTCCTTCTGAATAAAAACCTGGTGCCTGGAAACACTCGTCATGATCAGAATAATTAAGTTTGTGCCCATACAATTGATACACTTAAATTAATCCAAATACATTTCAATCCAATCAAGGAATTTTGTGCGTGTAAATGTAGCTAATGCTGGAGCAGGCAGAGATGAGAACATTTTGCTCCGTGGCAGCACACACAGAAAGTTGTGAGGATTTGGGGAACATGTGTGGCAAGATTTGGTTGCAGCTGAGCCAGCGCCTCGGTGTGCCAGCTCACCACCAGTTTGTTGCTTGTTTAAAGTCAGAAGACCAATTCTTATTTATTCTGACCTAATCAAAGCAAAGTGCAATAACGGGTCAGCTTTGTGGACTTGAATCTTCAGAAAATGAGAAAAATAACAGAAAGTAATGAAAACACTTTTTTTACACTTCATGCAGCTACAGAACAAAAATGCAAGTGTCCTGATGTATAAGTCCAAATATTTACCTTCTGCCGTCACGCAAACCCCTGAGGGAAACTTCTACCTCTTTAGCTGCTAAATAGCCCACTGTGCCATTCAGTGCTGCTAAAAGTACACACTGGGTTTTCAACTGTGACCCACAACTGCCAAAAACGGCAAAAGTGCGCAGTGGTGGAGAACAGTAGAGTTCACCCCTGAAACATTAAGACTGAATCAATCAAACGTTGAAAAGTCAAACAGAAAAGATAGAAATAAAAGTGTTAATTCACTCCTTTCACATTACTTATAAAACTATCATATATATCATATACAGTCATATATTACATACTCTTATTGATGTTCTACAAAATCATCAAATTTCAACGAATGCAAATGAATTATGCCACAAAACAAAGGTTAAGAAAACTTTAAATCAGGGGTGCCCAAACATTTTCCCCAGGAGGGCCAAAATAAAAATCTATCTGCAGCTGTGGGCCAAATGCAGTAATGAAATACAAATACTTTTAAAGTCCTTTATTTTTTAACAATTAAGCTAACAGCCAGTGTGGTGACCCACTTTTGTTTTACTTTGCGCACTTGTAGAAAGTCTGCCATATGCTCAAGTAGCAAAGGCTCATGGGATATTTCATAAATTGATAAAATATGAGTTTTTGTGGTTTTTTTAAACTGTGCAACATGTGTGGTCAAATCTAATCTAAATATCTCTTGTTGTGACTTGTATTTCGTTTCATGTTTAATCTTAAAGGAACAGTGTGTAGGATTTGTTGTTTTCAGTGACATCTAGTGGTTGAGTGGTTGAATCATCCTCCCTGGTCCTCCCCCCACCCCCACCCCCCGCTTCCAAATGCAAAGGAGTTGCTACGGTGTCTCTCAGGTGTCAAAAACCTTTGATAATTCCAACCGCGATGTCTACCAGCAGCTTCAGGGCTAGTGATGTTTCAAGTGGTAAGATTATGAGCTTTAATAATGGTGCGTTCACACCGAACGCGATTTCAGCTTCAAAATCGCAGCCAACGCTGA